GTAGATTATTGTGATGTTTTTATCAGCTGTTTGGACTCTCATTCTGACGGCACCCATTCACTGCAGAGCAAGTGATGCAATGCTACAATATCTCCAAATCTGACGAACAAACAAACTCATCCTAATCTCGGATTATCTGAGGGGGAGGAAATTATCAACAGATTTTAATTTGTTGGTGATCATTAATCATTAAGAATTTTGCTAAGAATCTTTACTGACAATTTTACCCAATTTAATGCATCCTTGCGGAATAAAAGTTTTTGTCTTTTAAAAAGATTTCACTGACCCCAAACTTTTGAACGATAATGTAAAAAAAAAAAAAAATTTCCCAAGAAACTTTCAAAAATATGAGTTAAATGAAGGATACTGAATTTTCCAAAATTAAAAAAAACATTCAGCATTTATTTGAAATAGAATATTGCTGTGACAACGCAGGAGTCTTTTGCCAAATTTAATGCATCTTTATAAAGCGGAGAGTTCCGGTGCTTGACTCTGATTGGCTGAGCCGCGTTCGAAGCTGTTGTAAATGACTCTACAAAGTAACATACACCTTTGTTTACTTCTGTGTGTTGCTCGGCAACCACTTTGTAGCAACCACAACTGTTTCTGAGGAGCTACATTGCTTGGTGGAAGAATACTGTTTTTATTAATATCATTACACTTTATTTGCTCTGTTTTATTCTGTGAAACCTTACTACGTATATGGAATAACCGTTTTATAAAAGCAATAATCCCCGTGAAGCCGTGGTTTAAAGTGAATTTATAACAGCTAAGAATTTATAACTCCGAAGAACGATACAACTGTCCAAGAAACATTCAAAACTATGAAAGTGAACGGATTCATACACTTGAGCAGATATTGGTGCAAAGCTTGTGCTCTGTGTCCTGCAGGAGCAGCGAGGGTCTGCTGAGAGCGGAGCAGGTTTTGAGAGGACTGGGTCTGGACTCGTCTCCGGAGGACTGCGTGGCCGCACAGAGAGTGTGTCAGATCGTCTCAACACGAGCAGCTCATCTCTGTGCCGCCGCGCTCGCGGCCGTCCTGCGGCAGATCCGGGATAACAAAGCCACAGAGAGACTGCGCACCACTGTCAGCGTGGACGGATCGGTCTACAAGAACCACCCACAGTGAGTCCAGA